GTTTTAACAAATAAAACAATTTCTATCGTAAATCGTTCGTAAGTGGCGCAACAAATCTCGGATATGATGGAAAAAACAGTGAAGTGGACTAAATACTACATAATTGTGGTAATATTGATTAGCTTCTACTCCGACAGTTCTGGGAACCAAGTGGCCATCTGGTCATTAGCCTACATCTGATTTGTGGAGTGGTAGGTAGGGATCGGGTCTGTCTTTTGTTGGCATAGAGATCAGGTTTGTCTTTTGTTGGCATAGAGATCGGGTTTGTCTTTTGTTGGCATAGAGATCGGGTTTGTCTTTTGTTGGCATAGAGATCAGGTTTGTCTTTTGTTGGCATAGAGATTGGGTTTGTCTTTTGTCAGTGTAGAGATCGGGTTTGTCTTTTGTCCATGTAGCGGTCACATTTGTCTTTTGTCCGTGTAGGGATCAGGTTTTGTCTTTTGTCGGTGTAGAGATCATGTTTGTCTTTTGTCCATGTAGCGGTCAGGTTTGTCTTCTGACCGTGTAGGGATCAGGTTTTGTCTTTTGTCGGTGTAGAGATCAGGTTTGTCTTTTGTCCATGTAGTGGTCAGGTTTGTCTTTTGTCCGTGTAGCGGTCACGTTTGTCTTTCGTCCATGAAGGGATCGGGTTTGTCTTTCGTCCACGAAGGGATCGCCTGGTTTTGTTTTTGTTCCCGTAGGGATCCCCTGAAATTTCATAATGAACCCTTCCAACCTTTGAATTGGAAGAGTTCAAATGTGTCTTCAGGGGTGATCTTGATATTACATTCATAAAATTTCTGAATTGAACGGTAAAAATAGGGGCTATATATATATACCGGTAATAAAAGCGAAACATTAACATTTAAGATTGTCCTTTGGCGAAGCTCTTCATTCATGGAGATTTTGATGTAGAACAATTTAATGTCCTATATATCTGTTTTGTGTAGTGCTTTTCCTCTCTCGGGAGACTTTTATGCCATCCAGTCTTTTACTGTGTGGCCTTTTCAAGATCAAATTAGAAATTTATGTAAAAGTGATTAGCGACATCAAAATTATGTGTTTTGTATATGAACTTTTTAGTCATTGAAATGTAAAACATCTGTAAATCATTTAACTCGTTCAACCTTATTGACATACTTGAACTCTTCCAGTTGAAAGGTTGGAATAGTTCATTATGAAATTTCAGGGGTGAATGCATTAAACAACCTTTAATTATTAAAATTCTCATGACAATTAAAATACTGGTAACCAATATCTAGAATTCGATGTTAATATAGAATTTTTCTTCATTCAAATTACATGATTTATAAAGAATGTAACCGTTTAAAAGTATTGAGTATTTTTTTTTTTGACATTTCTTTTTGACAAGTACATACCAGTATTCTTTCTACCTCATTGACATCGCCATAATTCTCCTCCGATCTTTTGTAACGATCGGAAAATTGTACTTCGGAGACATTTATAGAATTTAGTAGCTATAGTTCAATTCCTCTGTTGGGAAATCAGATGTGTTATATGGTACGCTGTGAAGATGTTGTCTGGTTAAATCATTTTGACCTGGAATCGAGAACACAATATCAGACAATGGTAGAGACGAAGGGTATCGAATACATCTATACATCTTTATATAAGTCACAACTTACGAGGATAGGTAACCAAATTTTCAAACCTAATTACCTAATTCAGAAAGAGGGACTGTTCTTTTTTTTATTGACAAGTATGGAAGGTAAAGAGGTAAATTTCTAAATAAATCATTATTATGGTATCTTTGTTTGAGATATTGAGGTTAAATATAGGGGCGTTACAACACAACGGGAGAGTACCATGCTATAATGTAATTAAGAAGGATTGTTTTGTAATACATATCCCGATATATTGTCAAAGGAAAAATCGGCTCAACTTAAAAAAGAGTTTCAAGTAAGAATGTTTATCAAACAGAATCATAGGTAATATGGATCGCGCTGTTTTAATATTCTTCGTCAAACCAGCCATCAGTAATGACTAGAAGTGGCCTGTTAATCGTTGGTATATTTGTTGTAGTTGCATATCAAAACATCATGTATATACATAAAAATAAGCTTTTGAAAACTATTGCGATAAAGTGATATTTTATTTCTGTGTCAAAAACACGATGCAATATGCCTGTATATTGCGACATACCGGTTTTCCAGTATATTGTGACAGCCCGAGGTAAATATGTGTTCTATCTTATTTAGACGGGCAGATTTAAGGCTTTCTCTGTTCTATCATCCAATAAATAGTTTAAGTGACACGAATGCAAGAACTGTAATTCTCAGCGACATAGGCACTGACCGATGTTTATTTACAATCACCACGATTAATAAACAACAATAATGTACATCTCGCATGCAATCATATAGCTCCTAGCCTATTTATCCCGATAATAAACACCCCTTCAAAAAATAAATGTGTGCGTCTCGTAACCTGTGTCACGTGAAGGACGTGTATAGGTAGCAACCTAGTCCATGTGCAAATATCACCAACAGCGCCACCTATTGGTGTTTCTCATACCAAAGAGAAAATAATTACATCCTAATTCCTACTGTCAACTGATTGAAATTATATACGCTACCTTATTGTGACATGGAGACTAGCTACCGTATCTTGACATTGGAGACTTAGGACTTTATGCTACCTTATTGTGACATGGAGACTAGCTACCGTATCTTGACATTGGAGACTTTGGCTGTATGCTACCTTATTGTGACACAGAGACTTAAGGCTTTATGCTACCTTATTGTGACTTGGAGACTTAAGGCTTTATGCTACCTTATTGTGATACAGAGACTTACGGCTTTATGCTACCTTATTGTGATACAGAGACTTAAGGCTTTATGCTACCTTATGGTGACTTGGAGACTTAGGGCTATATGCTACCTTATTGTGACTCAGAGACTTAAGGCTTTATGCTACCTTATTGTGATACAGAGACTTACGGCTTTATGCTACCTTATTGTGATACAGAGACTTACGGCTTTATGCTACCTTATTGTGATACAGAGACTTACGGCTTTATGCTACCTTATTGTGATACAGAGACTTAAGGCTTTATGCTACCTTATTGTGATACAGAGACTTACGGCTTTATGCTACCTTATTGTGATACAGAGACTTAAGGCTTTATGCTTCCTTATTGTGACACAGAGACTTAAGGCTTTATGCTTCCTTATTGTGACACAGAGACTTAAGGCTTTATGCTTCCTTATTGTGACACAGAGACTTAAGGCTTTATGCTACATTATTGTGATACAGAGACTTAAGGCTTTATGCTTCCTTATTGTGACACAGAGACTTAAGGCTTTATGCTTCCTTATTGTGACACAGAGACTTAAGGCTTTATGCTACCTTATTGTGAAACAGAGACTTAAGGCTTTATGCTACCTTATTGTGATACAGAGACTTAAGGCTTTATGCTACCTTATGGTGACTTGGAGACTTAGGGCTATATGCTACCTTATTGCGACTTGGAGACTTAGGGCTGTATGCTACCTTATTGTGATATGGAGGCTTTGGCTGTATGCTACCTTATTGTGACACAGAGACTTAAGGATTTATGCTACCTTATTGTGATACAGAGACTTACGGCTTTATGCTACCTTATTGTGATACAGAGACTTAAGGCTTTATGCTTCCTTATTGTGACACAGAGACTTAAGGCTTTATGCTGCCTTATTGTGACACATAGACTTAAGGCTTTATGCTACCTTATTGTGAAACAGAGACTTAAGGCTTTATGCTACCTTATTGTGATACAGAGACTTACGGCTTTATGCTACCTTATTGTGATACAGAGACTTACGGCTTTATGCTACCTTATTGTGATACAGAGACTTACGGCTTTATGCTACCTTATTGTGATACAGAGACTTAAGGCTTTATGCTACCTTATGGTGACTTGGAGACTTAGGGCTATATGCTACCTTATTGTGACTTGGAGACTTAGGGCTATATGCTACCTTATTGTGACTTGGAGACTTAGGGCTGTATGCTACCTTATTGTGATATGGAGACTTTGGCTGTATGCTACCTTATTGTGACACGGAGACTTCAGGCTATATACTACTTTATTGTGACACAGAGACTTAAGGATGTATGCTACCTTATTGTGACTTAATGGAGACTTTGGGCTATATGCTACTTTACTTTGACATGGGTGAGAGGGAGGAATTTGGAAAATGAAAACTACATCCTCTAGCTGATCATGACCAAATGTCCAGGGATGTAATTGTGGTTAAACATCGGGGTGTATCATACTAGTTTAACAAGACGTATTTATCAGTAACTCCTCCAAAAAAGGGCACAAGATTGGTAGGTCCCTGTGTCCCACATGGCTTGGAAAAAGCTTTTAGAACAAGCAAGATTTATAGATAGCATCGCACCAAAGAGCCCAGAGTCACAAACGAAGCGGATTTCATCCTTGGTCGTGTTTATGAAATGTCTTGTTTTCGATCAACTGAGGTCCCTTGTTGTTCGCTCTGATTATGTAAGGATATCCATTACTAATGAAGTTGTTAAAAATCCCAAATTACCTTCTATGTTTTGGGTGGAAACTTATTTAATTTTTTTTTATCTATCCTTGTGTGGTGTACCGAGGTCCTTCGGCCAGAATTGGTTTAGTTTCTTATTTTGGTGTACAGACCTTGTCTTGATTTGTGTCACAGGCTCAGGTTTTTGTGTTCACTCCAAATTACTCTTGCAAACTTGAGGTTTTTGAAGTAAAACCAATTTTCATGATGTAATACTTACCATAACTTCAGTATACTTCATAGAGCTATGGTAATTATTTCTGAAATGAAATGACATGTTGTTACGCTAAGATTGTTTTACTTATTAAATATGGATTTGTATGTCATTATTAAATATGGATTTATATGTCATTATTAAATGTGGATTTTTGTGTTGTTTTGTATTTTTCTGAAGTTCCAGTGTTTTCTAACAGCTGTACGTGGACAATGCATCAGCGATTAATTTATGATTATTATTTCATGTATTTTCAGGAATTTCTGGGAAATTTTCCCAGCAGCCCGAGGATGAGACGGTAGAGGAAGGGGCGGTGGCTCGGTTCCAATGTAATATCCGAGCTTCCCCGCCTCCCCTGTACACCTGGCTCAAAGACGACCAACATCTCAACAATGACGATAGGTCAGTGTAACTCTGTCATTCAAAATCTTCTTCTTAAGCTCCATAGGTGTACCCACCATTGCTATTATCACCATTAAAAGTATAGGGGTTGTAGCTTTCACTGCAGTTACTGTTTACGTAACACTGCATTTTGATAGTTTGACAAGATAGCAATATTTGAATTTATTGAACGTTACTAGAGTGCTGTGCACATATTTCGGAGTAAAATAAAGCTTACAAAAAGTTGCTCTTTATTTTAACTATAATTAGTTCTAATTGATCAGATAAAAAAATAAAAAAATGTGTAAACTAGACAGAAACGAAAATGTTTAACTGAAACCCCCCCCCATAAAATTCAGTCCAATGAAGCTATTTTTAACTTGTAATGTTGAATCTACAGTAGATTTGCAAAAAGAAAATCCTTGCAAATAAACTTGCATGCAAATTTGTTAGTATTTAAACCCGCCGAGTTGATCAGCTGAACTGTATGCAGTCGTGAAGATTGTCCACAAATTTCACAATATATAAAATTAGCCTGGAACATTCCAACATCACCTGCCAATAGGATACATGTGATTGCATTGGAGGTCAAAAGGTCAAAGTTGCAATAATCAAGTAGCCCTTCAGCTTCCTGTAAATAACTTGAATTACTTTTCAAAATGGGTAAGTGGTGACCTTTTGGAAAATGGTCGCCATAGGAATTCATTAAAGGTCAATTCAAGGTCACTAGCTATAAATAGATATTATATGAGTATTTATACATATCTCGCTAGCCGTTGTCAGCTAATGTGGCTTGATGAGGTATTATAGCGCTGTATCGTTTCACTTCAGTGGGATGGAATAGAAAAATGACACTCGTGTGGCCCCGTCATCTGTCGACACTTGTCATACGACTTTAAGTTCCAATTAAACAATTAATATCAAATTGTCCCTCCTACACTTCCGACAGGATTATTTCCAGTGGACTTAATAATGATGTGGCATTGTACGTTTCAGACATTGAAATCAGTTGTTATCTTACCCCTTAGATTAGCAGTCTTTCTGACCTGACAATAAGAATCGGTATTCTGACATCATGTCTTGCCTGACCAATGTATCGTCTAACAGTTTGTCTGAGTAGACAGGTTTCAGTGTAATTATTACTGACTCTTTAAATCTTTTGAAATACCGTTAATATGGTGTCATGCTGCATGTTTCAGACATTTAATCATTTCTACGGGTATTCTACAAATCTTGGATGTGGGTCCGGATGACGCCGGTCAGTATTGGTGTACGGCCACTCCGGGGAAGCTCCACGATCTCCCGGATCAGGTGGACAGCATAAAGTGGAAAAAGAGTAATCCAGCCACGCTCACAGTCAATCAAGGTAAATACACTCCTCTCAGTCAATCCAAGTAATTAAGTTACTCATAATCTGAATTATCTCGATGGCTCCATGCTCACTTTCACTCTTACCAAGAAAAATATCACTTTTAAGGTTGGAGTTATCTCCCCTGGATATATGCTACCTGACACCATAGCTGTCAACCCTCCCTCATTAGGAGGGAGCTAGTACTCCTTTGGTTTGACCAAATCTCCCTCGAAACTCCCTCATTCAAGTCCAAACTCACACAAAGTAAAAATCTACATCCTGTGGTCAAATGATCTCCTAGTTACTGCAAAGTGTGTGTAATGATCATAGCAGGTGTGAATGCTGTTTGGAGTTTTTTTAATACTTAGAAGGGAAAGATAAATTGAGCAAAGCAGTTTCAGTCGAGTTTCACACGCTTTCTCCCTCATTGAAAATGAGGAACGAGGGAGATCTCTGGAAGTTTCTGAGGTTGACACGTATGTCACATAATGAACTCACATAATGAAATCTTCAATTCCTGTCTGTTCAAACAATTAATGACTTATTTTCTAATAAAAATTATTGTTGACAGAATGGTTATCGGTCTTTGAATCAAGATTGTCACCAGTGGATGAGTTAACTGGTTCACCCCTGAAATGTCATGATGAACTATTCCAACCTTTGAATTGGAAGAGTTGAATTGTGTCTTCAGGGGTGAACAAGTTAATTCACATGGGGCCTAATTTTCATTTATGTTCAGTCTGTGGAGAAGGCACAGTCACTTAGGGACTGACTTTCAGCCTACATGATTGTGGATATTCTTGTCTATAATTTTGTACAGATCTTGTATATCTTTATCATATATTATCAAGAGCCTGTAGACTTGCTCAAGTCCATAGTATGTGACAACCATAGAGACTAAGGTGCCTGTCATAACTTGAGGAAGTTTGTTAATGCATTAAGAACACCCGCTTGTAAGAGAATTACTGCTCATTCAGACTGCCATTTTGTTTCAGGCTCGGGTAACCGACCCCTAGCTATCAAATCTGGACCGGTCAACACCACGGTACAGGAGGGTCAGTCTGTGGTCCTAGAATGTCTGGTGGACGGAACTCCGGAGCCTCAGGTCACCTGGGAAAGGGATGGTAAGTATCAGAGGCCCTGGAGGGGGGATAAGTCTGAGGTAGCGTGGAAAAGGGATGGTAATTGTCGGAGGCCCTGGAGGGTGGGGATAAGTCTTGAGGTCAGCTGGGAAAGGGATGGTAAGTGTCTGAGGCCCTGGAGAGCGGGGATAAGAAACTAAAGTGAGGTTTCCAGGCACGGGTCCCATTGGAAAGTTGTTTTTTTTGCCTGAATTTTACAACAGTAAAGTAAATAAGCAAAGGAAGGGAGGTCTCCGGTCTCATGGGTAGCAAAACATAAAAAAAACCTAGCATGGTTATATTCTTTTTGTTTTCTACATTAAAAATGCCATGGACCTTCAAGACTTCAAAAAATAATTTGGGAAATTCCTTTTGATCCCGACTCCTGATAGTATATTGTGTGTTGTTAATTTTCAGACGGTTCAGATGCAACAATGGCAGCAGTTAGGTACGGCTTCTCTAACCTGAAAATCCTCCAGGTGACGACGGCCCACTCTGGTGTGTACATCTGTAAGGCCAGGAGTGGGGGACGCACAGTGTCGGCCCGCGCCACACTCTCCGTACACAGTAAGTCTCTGAGATACTGCCGATGTCTGCTAACACGGACAGAATGCCTAAACTCATTCATCCCTGAAATTCCATAATGAACTATTCCAACCTTTGAATTGGAAAAGTTCAAATTTGTCTGCAGGGGTGAATGAGTTAAAAACTATCGGTATTATGGTTCTATAATGTCACTGCATCAATACACAGTTAAACCTTTCATACCGTTAGTTCAAAGAAATGTTGGGGAAATCACTGCTGATAATGATAGCCTTGTATGGAATTCGTTCTGATGCTTGAAATCTGTTACAAAATGTTGGCTGAAGTTAATGTGGGCAAAATTACACTTTCCCCACTGTATACCATAATGGACTCATCCAGATTAATGCTTGGGAGAGTCTACTAAGTTTCATAGGGGTGAAAGTGTTCACTAAATGTATGCTTGTGCTAATCTTGTACTTCTCCTATGCTGATTTTGGTATGTTTCGGAAGTTATTTGAACTAAATGTGTGTTTTCATTTGTGTTTCAGCTCGCCCTGAGATCACGAGGGGTCCACAGAGCGTAGAAAATGTGCCAGCTCACAGTACCAGGTTTGAATGCGTTGTCAAGGGCAACCCGCGCCCACGGGTACAGTGGTTGAGAAACGGAACAAGAATCAATCTAGCTGCCAATTACCAGGTTAGTATGTACACCATTACGGCACATATAGCCAGGACAAAACTGTCAGGTACACCATTACGGCACATATAGCCAGGACAAAACTGTCAGGTACACCATTACGGCACATATAGCCAGGACAAAACTGTCAGGCAAGCTCTTTTTGAAAAAGTACAAAAGAGAAGATGAAATATGCTGTTTTGTCGGTGGAGGGTGAATAGTTTACTGGTAGAATATGTTTTGTCGGTGGAGGGTGAATAGTTTACTGGTAGAATATGTTTTGTCGGTGGAGGGTGAATAGTTTACTGGTAGAATATGTTTTGTCGGTGGAGGGTGAATAGTTTACTGGTAGAATATGTTTTGTCGGTGGAGGGTGAATAGTTTACTGGTAGAATATGTTTTGTCGGTGGAGGGTGAATAGTTTACTGGTAGAATATGTTTTGTCGGTGGAGGGTGAATAGTTTACTGGTAGAATATGTTTTGTCGGTGGAGGGTGAATAGTTTACTGGTAGAATATGTTTTGTCGGTGGAGGGTGAATAGTTTACTGGTAGAATATGTTTTGTCGGTGGAGGGTGAATAGTTTACTGGTAGAATATGTTTTGTCGGTGGAGGGTGAATAGTTTACTGGTAGAATATGTTTTGTCGGTGGAGGGTGAATAGTTTACTGGTAGAATATGTTTTGTCGGTGGAGGGTGAATAGTTTACTGGTAGAATATGTTTTGTCGGTGGAGGGTGAATAGTTTACTGGTAGAATATGTTTTGTCGGTGGAGGGTGAATAGTTTACTGGTAGAATATGTTTTGTCGGTGGAGGGTGAATAGTTTACTGGTAGAATATGTTTTGTCGGTGGAGGGTGAATAGTTTACTGGTAGAATATGTTTTGTCGGTGGAGGGTGAATAGTTTACTGGTAGAATATGTTTTGTCGGTGGAGGGTGAATAGTTTACTGGTAGAATATGTTTTGTCGGTGGAGGGTGAATAGTTTACTGGTAGAATATGTTTTGTCGGTGGAGGGTGAATAGTTTACTGGTAGAATATGTTTTGTCGGTGGAGGGTGAATAGTTTACTGGTAGAATATGTTTTGTCGGTGGAGGGTGAATAGTTTACTGGTAGAATATGTTTTGTCGGTGGAGGGTGAATAGTTTACTGGTAGAATATGTTTTGTCGGTGGAGGGTGAATAGTTTACTGGTAGAATATGTTTTGTCGGTGGAGGGTGAATAGTTTACTGGTAGAATATGTTTTGTCGGTGGAGGGTGAATAGTTTACTGGTAGAATATGTTTTGTCGGTGGAGGGTGAATAGTTTACTGGTAGAATATGTTTTGTCGGTGGAGGGTGAATAGTTTACTGGTAGAATATGTTTTGTCGGTGGAGGGTGAATAGTTTACTGGTAGAATATGTTTTGTCGGTGGAGGGTGAATAGTTTACTGGTAGAATATGTTTTGTCGGTGGAGGGTGAATAGTTTACTGGTAGAATATGTTTTGTCGGTGGAGGGTGAATAGTTTACTGGTAGAATATGTTTTGTCGGTGGAGGGTGAATAGTTTACTGGTAGAATATGTTTTGTCGGTGGAGGGTGAATAGTTTACTGGTAGAATATGTTTTGTCGGTGGAGGGTGAATAGTTTACTGGTAGAATATGTTTTGTCGGTGGAGGGTGAATAGTTTACTGGTAGAATATGTTTTGTCAGTGTAGGGTGAATTGTTTACTGGTAGACTATGTTTTGTCAGTGGAGGGTGAATAGTTTACTGGTAGAATATGTTTTGTCGGTGGAGGGTGAATAGTTTACTGGTAGAATATGTTTTGTCGGTGGAGGGTGAATAGTTTACTGGTAGAATATGTTTTGTTGGTGGAGGGTGAATAGTTTACTGGTAGNGGAAAGAACAAATTTTAGCATGTTTTGTTTTGAATGAATTCCTTCAGTTAATTTTCCCCATAGAATAGCCTTCAATATGGTATTTCAGTGAGATAGCACTTTAAAGTCGGTACAGATCTGCGCTATCACAAGGAGGCTAATACACCAAAATACCCTACCTCTTGCGCACTTCTTTACATGCATGCATGAATACACAACACACCTGGAGGCCTCAAATCACCTTATAGCTGTTGTCAGCACGCTCAACCCTTTACAGCCTACCATAAGATAGCGTTGACTGACGTAAGGAAAACTTCTCTAGTTTTAGGTTTTATCTTTCACTTAAATAATACCTTACTAAGGAAAACGTTCAGTCCTGTTAGACTTCAGTTGGAGGTATTAGAAACGGCTTGTAGTGTAATTTTAACCCTTTCACCACAAGATGTAGACCATAATAGACTCATCCAGATTAATGTATGGGGGAGTCTACTGAAGTTGCATAGGGTTGAAAGGGTAAGCTGGAGACGACTCTCACTGTGTAGAGTAGCAGAGCACAGTTAACTAATACATTCAGTTAACAAATTAATCCACTGTGTCTTGTAGATTAAAAACAACGATCTGGTGATTACGGGGACGGTCCCGCTGGACTCAGGATACTACCAGTGCGTCGTCGAGAACAACGTTGACTATGACATGAGAACGGCCAGACTCCAGATTGTACCAATCGGTAAGTTTTGTAGTTTGGTTTAACCCTTTCACCACTGTAGACTGCAATGGACTCATCCATATCAATGCATGGTAGAGTCTACGAAAGTTACATAGGGGTGAAAAGGTTAAGAAAGGAAGAGAAAAAAGAGTGAGTAATGGGTAATATGTATGAATTGTTTAAGAGATCTGCTCCAGATTCTGACTCCAAAAAAATTTGATCTTGATCTGCTCTATGGGTTTTTTCCCCTGGTAATGTATGATAAAATCATCTTTCAGATACGGCAGCACTGCCTCCGCAAGGAATTAACGTACAGGTACTGTCGCCCACGGCGGTGTTCATCTCCTGGGAGTCGAACAGTCATAGACCGGTGTTGGCCTACTCGCTGCACATCGTCAACCAAGAAAGTGAGTTGATCTCGGCCCAGTTGTTTGTAGTCTGATAAGTGTAACAAGATTTTAATAAAAAATTGAAATGTCTACAACTTATTCTTGTCCTAGGATCAGTTCATAGAACCCTGATACATGTGATTTTAGTCATAAATTCTTTTTTTGATAGACAAAATATTTCTTTTGATTTGTCATTATTTTTATAAGTGTTGAACCCTTCCACCACTGTAGACCATAATGGACTCATCCAGATCAATACATAGGAGAGTCTACTAAAGTAACATAGGGGTGAAAGGGTTAAAACAAGTGTTAATTATCATTATCAGAATAATGTAACCTCTGTACCATAATGCAAACTAGAATGTCCCAAGGGAGGTAACTAGTGGCATATCTTTGAATGTATGGTAGATCTTCTGTAAAAAAAAGCAGTTGGCCAAATTGCTATTCAGAAATTTTCCTATATCTTATTTGGGTATGCCATGTATGGATACAAATAAAACTTATTACACTGTGGCTACATTCAGATACATGAATTTATAGTCACCAGACCTAAAATCTAAAACAAAGTTCCAATTCTAGGAGGCGGAATCTTAAGTATTTGGGAGCACTGTCATGTCCTCCAGACACATTTCTAGTTACCCAATTCAGATTCACACTAAGCCTAGATCCTTTTGAAAATCAGCATAAAACATGTCTGACCAAACATTTTGAATGCACATGTGTGATTCTTTGTTACAGCTAAGGAGAAACTGAACACCGATGTCATTCAGGGCGTAAACAAGGAGCGGGTGGAGAACCTACAGCCAGCCACTACCTACGAGATCTCCGTGAGAGCCTACAACAAATTCGGCGCCAGCGATTTTTCGGAAGTCACAGTCATCACTACATTTGAGAAGGGTAAGGTTGTGATTTTAACCACTTGCCCTATTGACTGGTCAAATTTTGATATTACTATTATTCTTTGTAATGAAGAAATATTTGACTTTCCGTTTATGGTTCTATTTTTGCGATCTTTTTCGCAGAACCTTCAGTTGCTCCGATGATTAGTATCACCAAGACGACGGCCACCAGTATCACACTTGAGTGGGACGAGTTGCCAAAGAAACAAAGAAACGGGGTCATCGTTGGTTACAAAGTGTTTTACCAGAAGGATGGAGAGACAGTGATCCGGACAGACGAAGACAACAACGGTCAAAGTCGTTCCTTCGTCATCAAAGGTATGTTCCGGTGTCCTGGGCCAGTATTCATGAAACATTTCCCATGCTCAAGCATGGATTCTGTGCTCAAACTAGATTTCTTTTAACTCGCTTAAATCATGTCAAACGATAAAAAAGTCAAATGTAAACATTGAAAACAGTTTTCGGCTTTAAGTCTCTTCAACATTTTCCCAAATCATTGACAAATTAATATTCAACAAATATATATAACGGGAACAAGAAATTCACAAAATCAATGCTTGAGCATGGAAACGGTTTCATGAATATAGGCCCTGATTGTAAGAACTTCGTTCCCATTTATCATGTATATGTTTAAACTTTATCCAGTTTTCTAGTTTGATTTGGATTATATGTTGCCATATTGACACTGAATGTTGCCATGGTGACACTACTATGTTGCCATGGTCACACTACCTTGTTGCCATGTTAACTCTATGATGCATTGTTGCCATTTGACACTGTATGTTGCCATTTTGACACTGTATGTTGCCATGGTCACACTACCTTGTTGCCATGTTAACTCTATGATGCATTGTTGCCTTTTGACACTGTATGTTGCCATTTTGACGCTGTATGTTGCCATGGTCACACTACCCTGTTGCCATGTTAACTCTATGATGCCATGTTTCCATTTTGACACTGTATGTTGCCATGCTCACCCTACCTTGTTGCCATGTTAACTCTATGATGCATTGTTGCCATTTGACACCGTATGTTGCCATTTTGACACTGTATGTTACCATGGTGATGCAGTACTATGTTGCCATGTTAACTCTATGATGCCATGTTGCCATTTTAACACTGTATGTTACCATGGTGACGCAGTACTATGTTGCCATGTTAACTCTATGATGCCATGTTGCCATTTTGACACTGTATGAAACCCTGTTGCCAGGTCTGGAGCCGAACACTAAGTATCGTATCCGTGTGTTAGCTCGGACGAGGGTAGGATATCCTGATCTCAAGGAAGACCGGTGGCCCTGGGTTCACGACAAGACACAACCTCGATGTAAGTATCCAAAACTCCAAACATATTTGTGACGAGACATATCAGCAAAGAAATAGATTCACCTGGGCTGTTCTCATTTAAACGGTTAAATCTGTCTGACCACAGTTGTTCGTTTATTAAATAAGGTCGGACCTTACTAATCTGATGCTGCTTTCAGGCGAGCCTTGGCAAAGCCTTGCGTGGCCTGCATAAACTTTTGCAGGTCCACCAGGATTTAATTTACATTTAGAAACGGACAAACCGGTTGTTCCCTTAAAGTCAGGCCCCTGATCTCATTATTGCTAGTGATTTCGCTCACTATCGTCAAATAGTCTTGCAAGTCTGTCTATTTCTATGCCAACCTTTATATGCAAAACCCAAGCAGTTAATAGAGAGCTAGTTATCACTATGGACAACTAATGGTGTGTTCCGGGACAAAAATCAGAAAATGTTAACCCTCGCGAGTTGTGTAATTTCTCCATTAAAGGAAATCATAATTGGTCATCACGCAGACTGATATCATGGCTTCAGATCTTATCTCAAATTTGATTGGTTGTCCAAGCTTCGTAAATCTTGATTTCTGTATTTACCTGGTAATAAGCTCATGCCTGGTGATAAGCCCACCCATTATGTATTACAATTCAGTAGAATTATAACCTGTTACATAAATTCAGATCAAGTTGACAAAATCTTGTGCGACTGATACTGAGAAGTTTGGATACAGTACAACGTGAAGCTGCGATTATTTTTCAGCCCGCCAAAACGACTCTGTTCCTGACCCACCCACCCTGACAGTTATCTCCCTTAATGCGTCATCAGTAAACATCACGTGGCACCAATATATTCCTCGGGTCCCGGTCACCATGTATACAGTCATTCTGAAGCGCCTCAAAGACTCTGATCAGTCCCAACACCAGTACGAGGTTCAGCCCACCAAACAGAACCTCATCCTCACCGATCTGAGTAAGTTAAACCAGCGTTTCTCGTCACACTACAGGTGCTTCATGTTTCACATTTGATTATGATCAATGTCACATTTCTGTTAATATCACATTTGTTTCTGATTAATGTCACATTTCTGTTAATATCACATTTGATTCTGATTAATGTCACATTTCTATTAATATCACATTTGATTCTGGTTAATGTCACATGATATTCAGAGGAATATGCCACTTTTGTATCCCGGAGATACTTAATGTATTGCATGGCAATGTGAAAGCTGTCTCTGGTCAGAGCTGTTCCAAAAATAATTGATGGGAAGGCTGGGAGGCACATTTTCCGAGACCCCGCCACCCATCAATACAGGGGCCTCCCACCTTCCTCATAGATAGATATCATGTACATCACTGTTTATGTCTCGGTGATCACATTCACCTGATAAACATCAGAAAAAATATCTGCATCAATTATTTCTTGTTTCTTCGGAGATTTTGTATATTATATAATTATTAATATTTATATATATATCAGATGAAAAATAAACAAGTCTTGCAAAGGAAAATATAAAATAAAATAGACTGACCGCTAGGCTGTTCTGCCTTCTCAGGCTCCTCAGGCGCCTTGGTAAAAGTCTTCCTGAAGAAGCCCAAAAAGGTTGAAAGGCCTAGCGGTCAGTCTTGTATACTTGTTATTTCATTCTATATATACATAATGGCCTATACATGGCTCTCTGGCCAATACAAATCATTTGCTATATCATTTATTTCAATCTTTCTATGTTTCCCTTCCAGTGAATGAAACATTTTATCAAGTTTCACTGACGGTTTCAAACCAATTTGGAGAATCTGGAGCGGTGATTGAGGAGTTTCTTACGTCGGAGAATCCTCCCCCGCCTGCGCCAATAAACCTCCACGCGACGTTTCTGGCGGCGCGCATCATCCGGGTCGAATGGTCGCAACCCGAGTTTACCTCAGAAATCCACTCCTATAGCGTCCAGTACCGCCCTGACAGAGCAGGCTCCAATGAAGAATCCTTTGTAACTAGGTATGAGCTGGTACATTCACTTGTTTCCAGAGCATTTGTTAACCCTTTCACCCCCAGGTAAACTAGTAGACTATACCATACATTGATCTGGATGAGTCCATTATGGTCTACAGTGGTGTAAGGGTTAAGATCTGTCTAGTTTTTAGGTCACCTGAGACAAAGTCTCAAGTGACCTATTGCGATTGCCTTTTGTCCGTCGTCGTCGTCGGTCGTCCGTCGTGCGTCCGTAAACAATTTACATTTTCAACTTCTTCTCCAAAACCCCTGAAGCAATTTCAATGAAATTTTGCAGAAACCTTCCATGGGGGCAAACTTTACTATAGTTTACATAGGGAAATCACATTTTGGACCAACAATTGTTTAATTGCCATTGGAGGTAATTCAATTTAGGTTAGCATTATCAGTATTGGGTAGCAGTTTGATGGTATGCACATATGATCCCTGACTGACCCGCCGGGGCTATTGGGTGGGGCCAAAAAGGTTTGAATTGACTGAAATTTCAAAAATCTTTTCCTAAAGACCCAGATATGGTAGAATCAAATACTCTTCATAGATGGAAGGGTCTGAAGGTGCTTTACCAAAATTGTGAATTTCATGACCCTGGGGTCTCACATTTCCCCCTGGGGAGGGGGTAAACTTTACTATAGTTTATATAGGGAAATCACATTTTGGACCAACATTTGTTTAATTTCCATTGGAAGTAATTCAATTTAGGTTAGCATTATCAGTATTGGATAGCAGTTTGATGGTATGCACATATCAGCCCTGACTGACCCTCCCCGGGCTGATGGGTGGGGCCAAAAAGGGTTCGAATTGACTGAAATTTCAAAAATCTTCTCAAAGACCCAGATATGGAAGGGTCTTAAGGTATATGACCCTAGGGTCTCACGTTTACCCCCTGGGGAAGGGGGGAGGGCAAAATTTATTATGGTTTATAATGGCAAATTATACTTTGAATATTACATATTAATAACTTGATTGGAATTATAACCCTGAGTTGACAGTTTGATACTGAAATTGAGCCAGCCCTACCCCAAGGGCTGTAGGGTGGGGCCTTAAAGTGTCAGTGTGCTTAAATGTCTTCATTTTCCTTGTTTAGAATCGGAGGTGCTAGTTTCAAATACCTTTTTTTTAGTCTTAAATCTGCATGCTAGATATTGAATAAGGTGGTTTTATTGTATTTTGTCACTTTGAATAATAATTCTGTTCATGTTAAAAACCAAATCCACTCTCTGTATAAATATATCAGGTGACCGTTAAGGCCCATGGGCCCTCTTGTTAATTAACCCGGGCCCAGAGATCATGAAACAGTCTTAGACTTCAGTTTTTGCTTAGCCAATCACGTATGACGTCACTTTTCATGACGTTATTTGTGATTGGCCAAGTCTTAACTGAATACAAACTTGGACTTAAGTTGTTTTATGATCCTGGGGACAGGTTCTTTGATAAGTGCTTAAATTTCACACTAAATTTTACATAGAATTTTTCTAAAGTATAAGAACCAAATTTTAATGGTTTGAGACAAAATTTGATTATGTTTATAGCTATATCTATAGTTGGCTTACTCAAATGTAATGGGCCATTTCAATTTAATATGCTCGTATGGTCCATTGTCGCGGCTTTTTTTTATCCCTGGTTAATGTGTTGGTTACAGTGAAACGACCCGAGCGGACATTGTGGGCCTGATGCCGTACACTTACTATTACATAGAGGTACAGGCCATAGCCGGAACCAGGACAAGCAAGTTCAGCAAATCCATTCTGGAGCGTACACAAGAGGATGGTATGTGTGATATATACAGAGTATCGCTCGGCAAAGTATTTACCCTGAATGTCCATCGTAGTAACTCTGGCATATAGCTTTTGGTGATATCCATATAAATGACCTTGACAGTGATGTTAATCTTGTGTTCACAGTGCCGACTGTTCCCCGGAACATCAAGGTCAGTCTGGAACATGGCGGGGCCTTAGTCCAGTGGGACAGTCCAGACTTTCCCAACGGGAATATCACCACCTATATAGTTCGATATGGCCTTCAGACACTAACCAGCAGCTGGAAATCCTTCAGGATCAATGGTTAGTAACATTAGGGGGCCAAACTATTGAGACTTCTACAGTCTTTGGATAGAAAATAGAAAATGAGAACAGGAAATCCTTCAGGATCAACGATAGGTGACGTTAGGGGTCCAAACTATTTAGACTTCTACAGTCTTTGGATAGAAAATAGAAAATGAGAACAGGAAATCCTTCAGTATCAACGTTAGGTAACGTAAGGGGGCCAAACTATTTAGACTTCTACTGTCTTTGGATAGAAAATAGAAAATGAGAACGGGAAATCCATCAGTATCAACGATAGGTAACGTTAGGTAACGTTAGGGGACCACACTATTTAGACTTCTACTGTCTTTGGATAGAAAATAGAAAATGAGAACAGGAAATCCTTCAGGATCAACGGTAAGTATTGGTAGGGGACCAAATATAAAATGAGAAATCCTTGAAGATGAACAGTTAGTTATAGTTAAGTGACCGAAGCAGTAATAGAACAATACAACTGGAAAGGCTTCAAGGTCCACTATAAAACGTGGAAACAAAGAGTTTCTCTTGAATGCTTTTTGTAATTAATGTGTCCATCTTGTTTTATAAACGCTATTGAATTTTTCGTCAAAAAAGTATGAGAAATACTATAAAAAAGTTGTATAATGTTTGCCTCAAAGCTGTTGTACACGAACCGTGGATTGTTTTGTATTCCAATTCCTCGTGTGTACTGTATAAAGTTGACTTGTTCAGCATTTGAAATTTACAATAATTATATTAGCCTTAACCCTTTCACCACTGTAGACCATAATGGACCCCTCCAAATCAATGCAAGGTAGAGTCTACTAAAGTTACGTAGGGGTGAAAACGGTTAATACTATTGGGTCCTCGGAGTACCGTTCTGATAACGAGGCTATGATAACAATGTTCTGTTATAGTAACAAGTTTCAATTGTTATGGCAGGTTCCCGAACGATGGTTCTGATTGACAATCTGAAGCCAGGGCTCTACGTTGTGGAAGTGACGGCATGCACGAGTGCCGGGCAAGGTCCGAGGTCCAAAAACACCATCCACATCCTAGGCGCAGGAGAGCAGGTCACAGGTAAGGGGAGATCACTCTGCGACAATGTTGTAATCATAAATAGTAATATACCTTCATCCTACATCATACCTGCAAACTTCTTGAAAATCCATGTGGGAGGTTATGCATGCTCCGATTTAAAAGCATGAATAAACTGTGTGTATGTATCTAGGGAAAAATGCCACTGTTAAATGGTGTCTTTTGAGCTGTTCTTTTAGATGAAATCATCAGATCTTAGAAAAGAGCAATAGTTTTGCAAGTTCACTGGTTGAAAATGCCCAATTCTAGAGTCCAAAGTTGGGAATCTTCCTCCTAAATTGTGAGGGAGATGGATAATGTTTTCTTGAAATATTTCATCTCGGACTAAGCAACATATTTTTTTGAAAATTCACGAAACACGTACAAAAAGACGAAGCCGGCCGATAGTGCTGTGTTGTTTCTTTTTATCCCACTTGTGCTCATTTCATTTATGAATCGTACAGTGAAATATTTAGATAAAGAAATATGTCAATTTTACTTGTTAGATAATTTTTTCCCTCTACAACTAAAGCCATGTTTCGAATATTGCACTAAAATACCATAAATGTATCAAATTAGGCATTCATTTACGTATGAACTCCACTTTTTGCTTTTTAGCCAAGCCTGCCGGGAATACGTCTCACCCTCAACAGCTGGGCATTATTCTGGGGATCACGATCGGTGTTGTGTGTATTATCATCTGTATCCTCATCATCCTGCTCCGAAACAAGTAAGTACCTCACCTATATATAGAGATTGAACGGCGTTTTCTAACTCATTCACCCCTGAAGACACATTTGAACTCTTCTAACTCAATGGTTGGAATAGTTCAATATGAAATTTCAGGGGTGAATGAGTTAAATCCATATATTAACATTTTTACTATAAAACAATTGTTCCATTTTATTTAGTTGTTCTTAAATCATTTATTCATTTACTGTTTTAGTCACAAGCAAGCCAGTTTGAAAAATTGTATCGCTCCAGATCACTTAAATCCACTGACAATAATGCCTTAAGTAGTAAGATATTACAAACAGATTTGTCACGCTGTTAGTCTTTAGTTGGTGGATTGGTAATGATACAACTGCTGAATGACTATTATACCTCACTGGTAATTGATGATGAGAATAATGGCTAAACACCATCCAGAGAATTCAAATTTAGATATCACCAGGATATAAAATGAATAAATTAATATCTACAGGTGCTTCAATAACCCTCCGCCTGGACACCCACATGTACAGGCGGTCCGTTTCCACGGCAATGGACACGTGCCACGACATGGTAACGGCCACGCTGTTCCTGTGTCGGACCGGGAGATGGATCCCTATACTCCGATGCTGGACGGACACTACGAAAATCACCTGCTAGATTCAAAGGTCAGACTCAATTTTTTCTGAGAGAGATATATCTCGCATACTAACATATTTTTTTGAAAATTCATGAAACATGTACAAAAAGACGAAGCCGGACGATAGTGCTGTGATGTTTCGAGATATTTCAAGGAAACATTTCTGAGAGAGAAAAAATGACGGGTCAGACTTGACTGGTTTCCAATAAAGAGTGGAACATTTAGGAAAGATTTTTAAGTTCACGTCATTGACACAATGCTAACTTCTCTTCCTTAACCCTGTCACCCCTATGCAACTTAAGTAGACTCTTCCATACATTTATATGGATGAGGCCATTATGGTCTACAGTGGTGTAAGGGTTAGGCCATGCCAGCAACCAAAGACATCTACACATATAGTTCTGTTTACAATTCTTTATATTCTTCCTTTTACAAACTGATAATTGTTAAAAATATGTTAAGAATGGCACATACTTGTTCTGAGTGATAAGTTTTAACGGAGGATTCTCATGGTCCCTATAGAAATGCTTTCGACTGAAGTCCTTTTATGACACGGGCGGTAAAACTTCAAACTTTTAAATTTTAATATCTTACGTAATTATGTCATTTAACCTTCGTAAGAATTGAGGATTTTGTATATTTTCACAAGTTGCAGAGTTTATCACGAGTAAAGATTTCGGTTTGTGTGATACAAGGGAGGTAACTCTAACAAATCTGTAACATTTCAGGGATGTGGCAGTGGAAACATCATTGTGACTCCCAACGGCACCAGGGTGAACGGTTACGTGCCGTTCTCCAACGGATTACGGAATGGACATTTACACAACGGTCATGTGACGACAGTCATCGGTTTCGCGAACGCCAATCAGCAGGAGGTATGCGCACGTATTGTCAGGACCGCTGAAAATGATTATTACAATTTCTCCTGGGATGTTACATGCATTCCTCCATTTAGATAATTCTGGAAATAGGGGTTAAGATCGGTGATTGTGGTGCTGAAATAACAGAAAAGGATCTTAGATCAATAATTGTATGGTGTAAATTTTGGGAAATTTTCTTAGCAATACATTAAGAAAAGAATGCAAAAAAAAGGAATGTGTAAGCCTTCCTCAGGCTAAACATTAACACAAGTGTGGTTTTGGTGATACTATCACAAAGCAGGCATCATATTGGTCTTCTAATTCCATATGTAAACAAGAAACCTGTGTATAATTTTTCGAAATATTATCCCAAAAAAGGCTTCATATTAATTTTCTTATTCTGTCTTGAAAAAGGAAACCCGTGGATTGATTGCGGCCATGCTTGCCAACGACGGGAATACTGTGACTGATGATCTGAGTCACTTGTACAAGACGAGCAGCCCCGACAAGACATCACTTGACGACATCGATAAAAGCATTAGTGGCACAGACTCGGACCAGAACACCTCCACCGGATCAGCTGAACTACCTCCAATTGCATGTTGTCTTGACGACGGGACAACAGCATGTTGCCATGATGATGATAGTGGTTGTCACGGTGACAACAGCAGTTGCCCGCTGGTTGGGACGTATCCTCACGAAGAGGAGGATGAGGATGTTGCACAGATGCGACCTCCACTGGAGGTCGACACACAACAGGGGGTTCGTCCTCCCGACCCGCAACGCTCAGCTCAGTGTGCAGCTACAGATCCAGATCACCTATTGGATGAAGAGGGGCGTGTCTGCAGTGCAGGACGCGCCCCTCGTGCGCAGCTACCTCCACGGGCGATGCCCACAACCTCCGTTTTCTCAGACGGGGAAGATAACAGAAACCACTCCTCTACCTCAGTGAGCCCCAAGCGTCTTGCGACTTCTACCTCAGCTAGAGCAGGCGCGGGGGATATTGACAATATGCGTGCCCCTGCGACAGGGGTTGGGGCCCCCTCACAGGCCCCTCAGGGGACACCTACCTCAGGGAAAGGCAGTCCTGTTGTGACGCCTACCGATGAGAATACCTCTTCAATTCAACAACCTAACAACCTCGCACCATCGGCGGCGGTGACCATCGTACGGGGAAACGACAATCAGTCACGTCCGTCGCGCGTCCAGGGCAGTACGTCCTCCAGCCCTCGTGTCCCTGGGGGCAGGGGGTCGTACCAGCAGCCTCCCCCACCCCCTTACCCTGGTCCCCGGGACCTAGCAATGCATCGTATACCTCAGGATTCACTCAGGCGAGACCACAATTCGGTGGCAGCAAGGCGACAGTTTCAGGATGTTGCCGTCTAAGTGTTATGATCCGCATACTAGAAAGGGAAAAATATTTGTGATTTTTTTTCTTAGTGTTCAAGACAAACTTTATGGAAATATGGGTTTTAAGAAACTAACTTACAAAATGTTGTTTTTGTACGGAGAGCTGCTGTAATGAAATCAGATGGAACAAGACAATGTGAAAGTTTGATTCGGGAAAGATCCCAAGGTCATTGAGAAGCAGGTAGAATATTTGATGGAGGGATCAAATATTCCAAGGTAGATAACTCAAGTTGGGATTTATTCAATAGGTGGAGCGATGTCACTAGGGAAATCTTACCGAATCCATTGAACCATCTTGATGTAATCACGACTGGTAAAGACTTTTAAGACCACAGTCATGTGAGAACACGTTAATCTGCAGCTCCTTGTAATGAAAACAAAAACAAATTTGATATTCGGAAAAATGCGGGTACTTCAGTTTCCTCCAAATATGTTTATGCTCTTATTTACACTGTTATTGCTATGGTTACGGTAGAATGTGGACGTCATTACCAAAACCAAACTTTTTATTCAAGATTACCTCTTTTTAAAGTGAATGGCGTTGTTTATATATATCTATATATATATATATGTATCATCTCGGTGAAATGTTTTTTGTGCATGAACAGGCAGAGACTGCTGACATACTTCATTATCGTGACGGTTTCCATGGTAATGCCATTTTAAAACAAATGAACTATATTATGAATTGATTATATATGTACATATATGTAGCTCAGGGTAGGAGGGAAGGACGTGGTGCTGTGGAGAAGGCTACACCCTTGGGGGCGGGGGTCAAGGTCGGTGGATGTGCCTCCAAGGTCAACTTTGGGTGGATACAAATGCTGTGCAAGCACCACCTACAGTGCAAAAAGAGTCAGGAACAATCAAAATTGTTTTCCACGCTGCACAACAACGTGGAATAATGCTGATTCTCCACTGGGAGAAGTGAGAAAACTTTTCGGAAGCCTCGCCCACAGCGAAGTGGCTGGATGTACTGAATAGGCCCCGCCTACAGTGGAGGCAGGATGTGTCAAATAGGCCCCGCCTACAGTGGAGGCAGGATGTGTCAAATAGGCCCGCCTACAGTGGAGGCAGGATGTGTCAAAAAGGCCCCTCCCACAATGGGAGTGGTATGTGTGATTTCGGCCCCGCCTTCAGGGGTGCTGCCAATAAGGAAAGAAAGGGTATGTTTTTTCCATGCTCCGAGATATAAGTACTGTTTGCTGTTTAGGCAAAAAGTACGGGATTGGAGTGTTCTCCAGTGATTGGTTGCCAAAATTATGGAATGTTCTAGCAGAATTACGGGAACCAACAGGAAACTTGCTGACAGGATCATTTGCTGTAGATTATAAATGTAAAATTTACAGAGGAATTTAAATCATCAACCCAAGTATGCACAAGACTTGACCGACAACAGCTGACTTTCACAGAGCTGTTGCGAGAACGGAATATTTACGGCGAGATTACAACAGGAAAGAAATAATCACTACTGGTGTTTTTTAAACGACATGAAGCAGATTCTGATGGAAGAAAGAGTTCAGAAAGAAGGGGAACAACTGTTACTTTTACTGGCAACCCCTAGATACAATATTATTTATTGTCTTTTTTATGTCCTTGTATATCAAACATGAGACGTAATACATTCTGTACTTGGTACCTCCTCTACTGCGATGTTATCACACAGACCAGATTTAGATCTATGCCAACTTTGATTGGTGGCATCTTGTGATCCCTAGAACAACATCTTATTACGTTTGTATTAATTGATAATTTTGAGTTTCGGCTATTTGGCGACTTGTGGAAGATTCTAATTTTCAAGATATTAAAAGCAATGCTTTCACAATTTTGATAAGTTTCAGAAAATTTGGATAAGTAACCGGTAAATGGATAATGAGCAGAAATTAAATCTGGTCTGGAGCTGTACTCCCCTGCAAACTACAATAGACTCAACCTGTCTACTGAAGTTTAAGGGAGGTAACTGTAGAGGAGCAAAAAACAAAAACATTACGGTGGAATTATACAAAAAACAATCTTGATGATTTTTAAATATTTCTTTATAAGATGTTTATTATGTACCTAATAGTGCTATTTATTTCATTGACCCTTCAATCATAAAACAGTATGAAAGGGGAAAACGGTTGTCATCTACCTCGTTCCCCTTGAAATACAATGGATTGGCTTGACCATCAGTGTTTTGGTAAATAATTTATTCTATAAACTAGTTCACCCCTAAAGAAGCATTTGAACTCTTCCAATTCAAAGGTTGGAATAGTTCATTATGAAGCTTCAGGGGTGAATAAGTTAATTGTTTACAAAAGGGATGATGTATATGCCAACCTCGTTCTCGTTCTCGCTGAAATACTACAAATGATTTGCCTGGCCAACAGTGTTTTGGCTACTGGTGGGTCAGTAACGTGGGTACTAGCCTTGTTGGTCGATACACCTATAATATATAGGTGATGCGACAGATGAGGTTAGCACCTGTGGTTGGTAAAGGGAGATAGTGCTGTTATAAAAGATATAATTGATAAGTGCTATTAGAAAAGATTTGTGGTCTGGTTTGTCATTTTATATGTAAACACCAACTATGTATGGTGAATTCAATGTCTGGTGAACTCAAGATGTTGGTCTTAAGTGTCACGGTGACAGATATCTTCTGTTATTCAAATTCTGTGGAGAAAAATATGAAATATCGTTAGTATAATACCAACGTTTTGACACGTAATTACAGTTTGGAAACTGTATGTAAGCATTACACATATAGAGAAATCTCAATACGTAAATGGAATGTTTTTCTGATTAAGTTTATTATTTCCCAATGTTGGGTGCAAGAATTACTATGAAAGGGTTTTTGACAAATTATGTTTTTAATCCTGAATTATTTGGCTTTGAATAAGGTAAGGTAACAGCGGTTTCCCCCCAGCCCCCTAAAAGGTAGTTAATAAGAGCCAAGTTGCCACGGTAACTGTTGATATTATCAGGGCCTATATGATTAACAAAGGGACGTAACTTGCATTTTACATTGTTTTATTTCAACATCTAAAAAATCTTATACAAGTTCAATAATCTTACAGTTTGGAAAATATTGTTTACTGATAAATGCATTCACCCCTGCAGACACATTTGAACTCGTCCGATTCAAAGGTTGGAATAGTTCATTATGGAATTTCAAGGGTGAATGAGTTAAGAAAATGGAGGGAAGAAGTGGGGAAGGGCGGGAAATGCTTACCACGAGAAGTGAAGTGAAATATTGACGGCAACCTGCTCACAATGTGGCTTTTTTTTTCTTGTGGAAAACAATTTTGTATTGATTTTGCTCTAGATATTCCTGTAAAGACTGAGTTAATCCCGGTGAAATCACGCTCCTGCTCAGACGTTACGGAGTATGATGTGACTTACTCGCTTTGCCAACGACACTTGTGAATTTGTAGAGTTTACATTTTGTATATACATATATATATACTGAGGATAATATATTTAGGTTCCATTTTGATATATGTTTGGGTAAGCATTTCCTGTTCTTCGGCAATTTCAGTACGGAACATTGTTGAACCACTCTAATATGATTCCCTACCAGAAGCGGCGATTAGGGCATTAACTCATTCACCCCTGAAGACACATTTGAACTCTTCCAATTCAAAGGTGGGATTAGTTCATTATGAAATTTCAGGGATGAATGGGTTAAGAAGTACCTTTAGGACAAGAAAACACCCTATCTCTATTACCTGGGTTTACTGTATGTCGGGACTGCAGAGGGAAGCGTTCCATTCGTTAAATTTCCACGGTTTCACAAGCTCACAATCAAAAGTGTCTGGAATATCTATATAAGTTATAATTTTGACATTCTCATTTATATGTACATTATAAAATAAATGTTCCAGACAATTTATGAGGATTCTTAAAAAAAAACCTTGCAAATCAGAACTTTTGACAAAACATATTGAAATACAACAATGTTTAATGCTTGGAGCAAGACCTCTTGATTCTACACATAATTCCAAGGGCAGCTCACTCTAACGAGGCAGACGTTTCACGAACTATAAGTTTTCACAAATTGTTACCATAGCAATTGGCTCCATATGATAATTATGAAATTCATTGATGTTGACATTTTTCAAGTTAATTTGTTGTGCATTTTAGAAATTTTAGACCGTGAATTTCTCTGAACCACTTTCCCCCCCTGTTCCCTCCTTCTTCCCCGTTTCCCGAGTTCCCCTTACCTATAAAGGGGGTTCCCTCTTCACAAATAACAAAACGTACAGAGTCGAATAAATCAAGATGGTAATAACAAAACCAGTTGAAATTTTAAGGTGGAAACGACATGGAAAATTAAGTTGAACAACCAGGATATTTATTGATCACTTGGTGTAATTTATAGCAAAAGAAAAACATTCGGGGAGAAAAAGGAAAAAACATGAACAATTTGTTATAGTTAATGGCATGATGGAAGATTTTGATGAATGAAGAGAAAGATCTCTCTTTTTCCCCGTAAATAATGACAGAAAGTGTCATAGAATTTGTACTTGTTTTTGTTTGTGAGAAGGGAGAGTGATAGCGATACAGTAGTATCAGCAGGCGGTACAATTCACATGGTGACTAGAATTATACGAGTTCAATCATTATACATAGACCATCCCCATCGCCGTTAGTTCGTGTGTATCTCTGTGTGGTGTATGTCTTCGTGGGATATTTTTTACTGCAATACTTCACGGTTTAATGGTATTTTCCGTAGTGTCCACGGCCGCTTGTTTGGGGAAAATTGATATTTATTTCAAATCAATACCGTTCTACCTTCAATGCATCGTTAAATACTTGTTTGTTTGAACAAGAATATTCACAACAGATTTCATTGAGCATGGAAATGTTAAATGGCAAATTTTTTTCAGAAGCAAAAATGATTTTTACTTCGAAATACTGGGAACATTTATTTTCTGTGGACGTTATTCCATTGAATTTGAAAAATAACAACACCATTTTACCTTCAGTACATGGTGAAAAAAAGGCTCATTTAAGCGAGTGTATCAGACTTCATTGAACAAATAAAGTTCAACGGAAAATCTTTTTTGGGTGACATCACAGCATTTCTTTGGATAGACATTTTACGGAATTTTATTCCAATGAAATCACCCAGAAAACTTTTACAGTAATTCTTAAATGGTCAAACAGCTATTTTGTATGAAAAAGGAAAAGACAAGATTCCTACTTAGAATTTGTTTTGTCTAATGGCATTTATAAAACCTTGTTTGCATCTTCAGAGAGGGGAAAGGCAGGTCAAGGATTTTTCTACCGAAAAAAAACAATTTTAAGTACAAAACTAAGAAAGTTTAATGACACTGTGTATGTGTTATTACATGAAAATGGCATTGACAGGTTCTCGTGGGGATTTTTTTCTGTGAACTACCGTAGGCCAAAGGGACTTGCCATTTTTGGGAAGAGACCAGTCGAAAATATTAGTCTGATTTTAATTAAGACCATTGTTGACTTGATTTCTTTTTTCCTTTGAATTAAATGTGAAAAAAATTGTTTTATTACATGATGATGAAATGAGAACTATTTTAGTTGAAATTTGGACAAAACCTTTTAACCTTTGGTCTTGTTTACAAGGAAATAATTTGTTAATTTTATTTTACAAAACCAAGATTTTACTCCAGTTTTATGTAATATACACAACTTTTTATCTACTGATATGATGAATTTTGAATTTTGATTTTAATTTACAACTTTCTGTGCTTGTTAAGATTTGATGTTATTGATTAATACCTGGTGATGCAAATTTGACTCATTCACCCCTGAAGACATGTTTGAACTCTTCAAATTCAAAGGTTGGAATAGTTCATTATGAATTTTCAGGGGTGAATGAGTTAAACAAATATTATTTTGGACCCCATCCACAGTCATCAAAGGCTTCTACTTCAGTTGCTAGCCGGTATCCTGTTAGCTACCTTTCCAGCCTGGACACAAACAAAGTAATTGACTGATGCAATAATCAAACTTTATTTATTTGGGTCGTACCAAATTTATTTAGAAGGGAAGTAAGACTTTTAACAAGAAAATAATGAAAAAAGGAAAATTTCATTTTTGTCAATACGAATCGGTTATTTTGATCAATTGTATTACTTACTTCTCATCTTGCTAGACGAAAAGGAGATACTTATTTATGAAATACTGTAAAATTTCCTGCTATTTGCAGAACAGTTTAAAATGTCCAAATTTTGCCAGGATGTTAAAAAGTTCCGCAGTTATATATATATATAACGGCAACTCAAAAATGTGTCTTTATAATCAGTGAATTTCTCGGGTACCTGTACACCCTTAAGCTGTTCACTGGACCTGGACCACAACTATCGGGCGGAATGTACCATTTGAAAGTGAGGGGTAACTAAACTGACCGCTACAAACCAGTAGCCATCTACATTTGTTTAACTGACCACTATAAAACTGAAGTATACAGCTGTTTAACTGACCGCTAAACAACCTCCAGCCATATACAGCTGTTCTGTCCTATAGATAATTTACGTCGGGTTGCTACACGAGTAATCATTATGCTTCTCTACATAAAAACAACATTTTATCATTGTCTAATACTAAATACATCATGTACAAGGGTTTGCTCTGAGCACCAGGCAAAGACTACAGTCGGCAAAAGACATATTGTTTTTATTGTATGGGGAATTGCGTTTCTCATCTGATCAGTGTTAAAAATGTAATAAAACCCTTGTATTTATGGCAAGATACTTGTGATTCAAAATTCAATTTACTTAAGGTTTCTTTTTGAATTGAATTAATTAAAATCAGTTGCCTTCAAGACATCTAATTTAATGTAAGAGAGAAATTTCAATTTTAAAGTGATCAATGTCAGAAAAATCACGTTGCGAGGAACATTTTGAGGGGTTTAAAGCGTATGAGAAGTACGGGTACTTGTGTCAGTAGCATTACCTAGACACACGGCCAGCTGCAGTCTTTGCCTGATAGAGTTACCTCCCTTACCTGTCGGGATAAACTTGCTGTACCTGACTCTAGGTAAATCACTACCTCAATGTCACCCGTCTGCTCGGGCTATACTCAGGGAGAAGTCATTTGTCGTCAAGCGAGCAGATCGGG